TAATATTGCTGTTTTTTGTAGCTCTGATGGTGGTGTGATTTCTGAGATCTGCAACTACTTATAGTACTCTGTGAAATTTCTTGATATCGTTTCCAAAGCCCCAATGACTACAGGGACCACTGAGGTGTGTTTCTTCCAGAGTCGAGATGTTTCAATTGCCAGGTCTCTGTACTTGGTTAGTTTTTCCAATTCTTTATTTTCAAATTTGGCATCCCCTGGAATTGCAATGTCAATAATCTAGACATTTCTTTGTTCTATTACTACTATGTCTGGTGTGTTATGTTCAAGGTGCTTGGATCCAGAAATCCCACAATAACTTGACTTCCTCATTTTCTGAAACCTTTTCTCTACCTGATTTACCCATGGGTTTTTTGGAGGCTGGCAGGTTATATTTTGACATAATGACCAGTGCATTAACTTTGCCACTCTATCATGTCTAACTCTGTAATTTGTTTGTGCAGTCTTTGGACATCTGCAGATGAGGTGTGACACAGTTTCACCTCACCTTTTTCTTGACAGTCAACATTTGATGTTAGCACTAACTCCTTGGATCTTAGCTTTCATCACGTTAGTTTGGAGTGCTTGTTCTTATGCAGCAAAAATCAAGCCTTCGGTTCTTTCTTAAGGGTCCCCAGTTTTAGCAATGCCCATGTTGTTTCTTATATTGAGAGTTTGTTTCTGTTGTTTTCAAAATATTCTCCATTTTCACTGCTTTCAGTAATTTTTCTCTGCTTGTACTGATATAATTATTTAGGCTTCTTTTTTTCTTCCTTTACTACCTCCTGTATTTGCAGTAATCCACAACCTCTGATTTTTCATGGTAAATATAATCTGTCCACATCACTTCTTTGGATGTAGTGTGTGATGCAAATTCATTAGTTTCTGTGTTTTCCGATCCAATTCTTTTAGTTTGTTTTTAGTCCAATCTATTATTCCCACTGGGTATCTAATTACTGAAATGGCTCATGTTTTTATGGCTTTGATTGTATTTCCCCCATTTAATTTTGATTTTAAGATTTTCTGCAGTCTTTTGATACATTCTTTCTCTAAGTAGTAGTAGTAGTAGTAGTAGCAGCAGCAGTAGTAGTAGTAGTAGTAGCAGCAGCAGCAATAGTAATAATACTGCTGCTACTCCTCCTCAGATTTTCTACTGATGAGCCTCTTTTCTGTCTCCATATCTCTTACTACCAAGCATAAAAACATGCTCACGCACACCTGGAGAAATTCAAATATTAAATTGCAGCGCTTTAATACAAATACTAGTAATTTAACAGTTACCTTTAGGCCTATAGCTTGATGTGCTGCTAAAGTTACTGCAACAGATCCATCCTGAGATATTATTTCTCCTAAACGTGCGTACATTATATTTGAAAGACCAAGACCACCTACAAATAACGGCGACAACACTTTTTAGGTTTACCATGAAACAATGTTTTGCTACTTTAACATCATTCCACAAGAACAGAAAGAACAGAAATAACAGTATGATCCTAAGTAAGCCCAATGGCCTATTTCCTGGAGACATTAATTACTGGAACCTACAGGTTTTAAATATTATAAACTATTGAGAGGAAGCTCTGGAAAAATAGTAGGAAACATGGCTGTAATTCTGTTGCTTATCATAATAAATTGCAACCAGGATAGGCCCATTGAATCCATGCAACTTACTGAATATTTCAGTTTGGGGTTGACACACCAAATCCTCAGTGATTCAATGGGCCTACTCTAGTTGCAAACTAGTGTTGATTTGTGATTTATTTTTTAAAAAATATTTTTACTCTGCTGTTCTTCTTAAAAAGGACTCGAGATTGCTTACATCACTAGAAAACAACGTATAGAAGTTAAAACAGTAAGTATACAAATATTACAAAAGAATCAAACAGTTATTTTACCACACTAAAATGGTTAACAAAATCAATATAAAAACACATACAAAACAACAAGGCAGAACCAACTGAAGTTCCTGAACACTTTCCAAAGGTACACTAAGCAACAGGATTTCAACCAGGAATTCTAGTTTATACTTTTCTTTGCAACAAGAAATATGAATTCTCTGTTCAATTTTACTCACCATATTCTTCTGGAATCTGCATGCCAAAAAGCCCCAGGTTCTTCAATCCATCAAGGGTTTCTTGGGGAATTTTAGCATCTTGATCAATTTTTTTAGAATCCACTAAAAGAAAATACAGTATAAAGTTACATGCCATAACTGGCCACGGAGAACAGAAATGTTACCAGATATGGAATTGGATTCAATACCACTACTACTAAGAAAGTGAAAGTGGCCATCCAAGCTGCTCTTGCCAAACATTCTTTTCCATACAAGATCTTAATCCTCACACCCCCAACAGAACAATAGGTTGAAGGACTAATTATATAATTTCAACAGCAAAATTACCAAATGTACACATTAGGAGCAAGCCTTTTCGAATTATTTGAATAATCAATTGCATCAAATTTGTAAAATAATGTCTCTCCTGTAGTTCTTACAAATGGAAGATAATTCTCAAAAATAATGGAATTGACAAAGAAGCATCTTACTATGGCATACATAGTTTTAATTTAAACCACAGTAAAACTTTTGGGTCTAAGATTCATGCTGTCTTCATATATTTTACTATCCTAACAGCAGGTGGAAAGAACATGAATATGAAATGACCTAGACTCTTGTTTTTAATTGTTACTGCTACAGTAAAAGGCCTCATGAAACACCTGGAGGAGAAACAATCTTAAGAAATTGTCTTGGATGTTGTACCTTCTTCATGGAAGAATTTTTCTACTGGTCCCACAAACTGGTTGATTTCTCCCAATTCTTCATTGCTAATTTCAGGATAAGGAAAAACCTGTTCCTGAAAAGACAGATTTGTAATAGCGCTTTTAATTATTTTTAGAACTATTAATATAAAAGAATGCTCAGACACAAGATTAAACATTACTCCAAAGGTGCCGAAATGGAGTTTCGCTTTGGAAAATTCTGGTGTTTACCCCGTGGCCCCTGCTTGTTTCATCAAACCCAGAGCTCACGGAGGTATCCCAACACACCTCTTGACATGCTGCCACCAGTTAATCTCTTTATCAACTTGTTTTTCTTTAGAAAGACTAAAGTCCATCCAGTACCTACTTTTCAACAGAAACAGGTTTATTGATTACACTTGGTTTCAGGAATAATTCTTAAGCACATTCTTAAAGTTCCACAAAGCTTCAATATTTTTCTTTAATCTCTTCTATATTAATTAACACAAGTCACACTCTGATCAATCACTGCCTAATCACTCCTTAAACACTTTCTGCCTCAAAACCCCCCAAACTATCCCTTCTCTCTCTCTCTCTCTGACTCACTCCTGACTTTGCACATTTGAAACAGGAGGTGGTCATGTCCAGTTCCCTTACACTGGGAGTTTGAATTTCAGGCCTTTCCTCCCTCTTTAAAGCTGAAACCTCAGAATCACCTGGCACATATGCATTGATTGTATTCCTGCACTGAGCAGGGGGTTGGACTTGATGGCCTTGTAGGCCCCTTCCAACTTCACTTTTCCATGATTCAAAGTTGCTTACAGGTCTCTGAACTCCGGAGCTCAAAAGTGATTCAAAGATTTGCCACAACAACAGCTGAAACAACACTTCGTGATACATTATGCCTTATCCCCCCATTACCCCTTTCCTTTAAACTGCTCTGCTGTCTTTTAAATTTGATGGGTTCAGAGGACATTTGACGAGATGTCCATGCACAGCTTCTCGGAAGACGAATCCTGCAGCTTCTCTGACACACACACACACACACGAAATCTTTACAAAGGATTTTAGTCTTTATGAACTATGAAAAGATGAACCTGTCGATTCCTAGTTCCTGTCAGATTTGTTTCCATTCAGTTTTAAAGCCATCCTCACAATTTTCTGCAGCAGTCTGATATACAAAACCTCACATTTATTAATGTATATAGAACATTATTTATTACACAAGTATTTCTACAAAGCTTTCTATAACATATGCATGTTTGTATACATGTTTTACCAAAATAAGCACAAAGTAAATACAGTATCAAGAGTGGGCAAGCTGAAGCATCACTGCGTTCTGATCAATATATTGGTTGGGAAATTTGATTTAGGTTGGTTTGTTTAAAAATGTCAAACAAAATTCTGATGGTTGTTGTGGGTTTTCCGGGCTCTTTGGCTATCTTCTGAAAGTTGTTCTTCCTAACGTTTCACCAGTTTCTCTGGCCAGCATCTTCAGAGGACAGGAGTGCTGACTCCTGTCCTCTGAAGATGCCGGTCACAGAGACTGGTGAAACGTTAGGAAGAACAACCTTCAGAACACGGCCAAAGAGCCCAGAAAACCCACAACAACAAAATTCTGTCTAATGTGAATGAACAAGGGATTATTGAATGCTGGCATTTCCTTAAGTTGAACTCTGTCATCTGCAGCAATCAATAAGAACAAAAACGACCACATCAACAGCATCAACTATTCAAATAGTAGTCGATATTCTGAATTGTTTATTGCCACCCTATGATTTCATTTTATTAAGTTTCCCAAAGAAAGTAAAATTATGGGGTCACTTCCAGTGGGCAGCAATGGGCCTGAATAATAATATTTAAACAACATCCCACCCACTGGTCTGCAGCAATCAATAAGAACAAAAACGACCACATCAACAGCATCAACTATTCAAATAGTAGTCGATATTCTGAATTGTTTATTGCCACCCTATGATTTCATTTTATTAAGTTTCCCAAAGAAAGTAAAATTATGGGGTCACTTCCAGTGGGCAGCAATGGGCCTGAATAATAATATTTAAACAACATCCCACCCACTGGCATAAAGTTCTTAGCCCTAAGTACAACTTTACAGAATATTTCAATTTTATAATTCAAACAAATTATTAAAAACCATCACACACCTGTCAACTTCAACTTTATTTTTGGAACATCTGTCATGTGGAAAAAGTCAGAATTTACAGAATGAAACAACTGCAGATATGCCACCTTATCAATATGTTAAGAAGCAGAAACTGTCTCATAGCACAGGGAGTTTGCAATGCAAGAGCATATGAATTGAATATGAAGCAGTGCAAACAAAACTGTTTGAGCGAAGGAGTCACCTGTGATGCCCAGTTATGTCTAAATGCAATCATCATCATTTTAAAACTTCATACTGTAGCTGGAAGGAACCCTGTGGATCATCGAATCCAGCCCCAGTCAAGGAGGCACAGTGTGGAATTGAACTCTGAGCTATCCAGCAGTTCTGTTTAAATGATAATGGTAGTATGTGATGGAAAGAGGTTGGTAAGAATGGGTCTGATTGCCTGGGAGAAACTAGGGGAAAGGTGCTGGTGAGTTTTATGGAGTAGTCTGGTCTAAAGAGCTTGGGGAGAGGGTAGTTTTGAAAGAGAAAGCTGGAAGTCTGAGGAAGAGAGAGATGACAGAGAAAATGAAGAATTGTGCTGAATGAATTTCGCTCCTAGGAATAAGTAACATCTGTTGGACATTGTTATTCCAATACCTGAGGGTTGGCTATGTGGAGAGTGTTATAAGGGCCTGAGTGAAGGGGCCAATAGACACACACAGGGACAACTAAAAGCTGGTGGCAGCAAAAGAGAGAAAAAAATAAGTGATTACTGTATTATTAAAGATACTTTATTTTTGTGATCATTTATAGAGACCATTACTTAAATAATCAAGTGACAAGACAAAGGGATTTTTGACCTCAGTATATGAGTGGGATAGGGTACAATCCTAGCTTGCTTTCCTCATTTCACTCTCTGTACTGTACTCTTATAAAGTATGAGAGTTGAAGAATCCTTGAGGATGGTGGTTCCCAAACTTGGTTCTCCAGATGTTCTTGGACTACAACTCCCAGAAATCCTGGACAGTACAGCTAGTGGTGAAAGCTTTGGGGATGTTTTTACAGTTATAACAATGGATGTTTTAACAGTTATTGGTAGGGCAATAATAAAAATTATGTACATTCCAACTCGAACAATGAAGCTGAATTCCAAGATTGATCTACTAGGTTTATAAATCCACCATTATGGAGAAAATAATGTTATATTAAACCGTTAGGTCAGAATTCACAATCAATCATGATTATGATTTTTTAATGGGCCAATATAAAGTTCTCTGAATTACATGAGTCATATGAACAAGAAAATTTGCTTACTGTAACTCCTAGTTGATCCAAGATTATGAATGTACATTACCAGACTGTACTTTGCTAAGGGATGAAAAAGGCCAATGCTTTGTACACAAATGTTCCAAGCTGTGTGGGGGCATAATAACATGTATATATAACATGTATAACTAAAGCGACACGCCTCTTGTCACAAAGCTTGGTCAGAACATGCCCAGTGGCTGCCTGAGAGATATAGTCCTGGAAAGGAAATTATTACAGTATTTTCCATCCAGTTCTTGGACACAAAGTTTGTAGTCACAAGCAAGTACTTTTTAGCAACTTTTCGCATTAAACTGTGACACTGAGCTCAATGTACATTCACAACAGTGTGCATAGGACAGCAGACATAATTACAGAAGAGTGACTATTCAAACATGCCTGCTAGAACTACCTTCAAGTCATTGTCACTATATTGTTCTGGAGTACAAAGTACAGTAATAGGTTTTGGCTCAATGAAAGATCCAAGGGAAATTCGGGACAATAAGAGTAAAACCCAGACCTATGCTTGGATCTTTGAAAAAAATTGTCATGCTTTAGTTGGATTTAGATGGACAATGACTAAGGTAAAACAAATTTGACAAAAAAAGAGAATGCTGTGTTTGTTGCTTTCCCCCCCTCTGTCATGAGGAGCATATTGTCCCGTGTCCCAGAAGGTAGGTAAAGAACCCCAAGACTTCTCAGTATTTCCACCCAGTCAATTCTTCCCTTTAATTAATGATACTTTCATTGAAAGAGTATCTGAGGGTGGAACTACATGACGATTTGTCCCACTGTTTGCTCCGCTCTGGGGATGGGCCGGTTTGCTCCTTTTCCCAGAGACCACAAGGTAAGTGCCAGCTTGAATCAGCCCAACATCTCCAGAATGGTCCTATCAACACCTGACTGTGGGACCCTCCCGGGAGGACCAAGGATGTTCGGCGGGGGGGGGGCGAGAAGGTCTGCCACAGGCACGCTTCTCCTCCGTTGTCCCCCGGTAACAGTGCGGTTCCCACGGGCAATTGAAGCCGGCACGCCTCTCACCTTCACTATCTTCCCCAAGAAAAGCTCCCGAGCGAAAAACGGCCGGCAACAGCCGGTATGCAACGGCCTGGCGCCGGCGGAGAAGGAGACCCGCAGCGCCGCCCGGCAGAGAACGCCCAGCCCGTTCATGTCTCTAACCAGACCCGCCGCTCGTCGCGCTGCTCTGCGGCCACCCGACGCGCGCGCCGATGACGTAAGACAGCCTCCGCCCACAGACAGGCACGGTTCCTCTCGTAGACTTATAAAGGTTAAACATGCACTGTAGGCGGAGATTCCGGGTTCACTACGGGTTTTTTTCCCCCTCCCGTCGGGATTTTTTAAAAAAATTAAAATGACTGGCGTCCAGAGAAAACGACGGAGAAATACACAACTTTAGCCTAGAAAAGCCTTTCCCCCCCTCTTCGTGAAAAGACACGGAAGGGATCGGCGCGTTTGCAACGCAGCACAAGACGTCTACCTGCCGTTGACCGTTAGGTTTGGGCTGAGGGGAAGCCACGCAAAAGGGCCGGCTGTTTTATGCCAGGCACTTTCTAAGCCTCATATCTTAGCGGGCCTCGATGTGAGGTTGTGGTGACAAGGCAATGGCGTTGCCAAGCTGGCTCTCAGCGGCTGGCAGGGCGTTTTCTGCTGGGAAGGGCCGAGAACCTCAGGCTGACGCTCCTTTCCGGCCTCCCTGCGGCCTCTGAGGGGCGCTGCCACCCTATATGGGCGCGACTCAGGCTCTTTGGGGCTGGCCTGGGCCTTCAAGAGCCGTGAGGGGTCGAAAACGCCTGTTCTTTTGGTTGAGGTGCTCTGGAGGTACGGACCCGCTGAGCCGTGGGGCTCCAGAACTGGGGTGGCGGAGGCATCATGAGCAGGCAAGCCCTGACGAAGTGCTCGTGTAATTTGATTGGACCTATTCTAATTTAATTCTGTTCTGTAGTGCAAAAAGGAGTGTCGCGGTTGTAGAGGCGGTTGAATAACAGTAATAATGGTCGTGATAACAATACAAGTACAGTATACCGACTGAAGCAGTGGCAATGTGAGTAACCACGAAGGGATTGTCAAAATAGTAAATAATGTCCCGCATAATTAAAGTGTAAAGTTACTACCCTGTTTTCCCCAAAATAAGATCTAACCTGAAAATAAGCCCTAGTATGATTTTTCAGGATGCTCGTAATATAAGCCCTACCTTCAAAATAAGCCCCAGTTAAGTGAAACCCCACTATCCACCGTTGTGCAGCATCCAGAAAATGACATGACTGTTAAATAAAACATCCCCTAAAATAAGCCCTAATGCGTTTTTTTGGATCAAAAATTAATATAAGACCCTGTCTTATTTTTGGGGAAAGACGGTATGTTAAATAAAGAAAAATATGTAATCTTCTAGTGAGTAAATGCAAAGTTGCACCTCTCCAGCACAAACGAACTTCAAAGCAAAGGCTTACGAGCACCAGAAACTTGGGTACTGTAGCTATGAACCTCCGACAACACAAATTTCCAAACCTACGTCAAAGTTCTGCGCCACTTTAGACTACTAATACTGTTCTGGCAAATTTTGCAGGTTTTACTATTGTAATGAATTAACTCCAAGTGGGTTTAGGAGATTTTTGTTTTCTTAGGTCCTCCCGCCTAGATATGTTCTTTTGTTGCTTGAGGTGGAGGCTAAACACTAATGTTTGGGGCATGTAACAATGACACATAGCTAGCTGAAATCTTTGGCATGGTATTTGACAGTGTTACCGTTTGTGTAAACTAGAAACACACAGTTACACCAAATAATGGCAATACAGAACCTGCAGTTTTTGGCCCACCATTATGGTCCAAAATTTTAATGCAGGTTTGGAGGTGACATGAGTTTGAGAGGTTTGTACTTAACTCTTGATAAGGACACTGTCAGTAGCACAAGGTCTGTTCAGGAATAGGTCCCCTCCCATTGTGTTCAATGGGGTTTCCTGTCTGGTTAGTGTGCATAGAATTGGTTGCAGCCTGGTTTCTTTTAGGATTATTTCTCCATTACCCTTGGAGGGGCTCAGTTACAACAAGATTATTTATCTTTTTGGTGTCTAAAATATCTACAGATACCCAGTGTGGTATAGTTGCCTTCAGAGTCAGGAGACCTGGGTATGAATCTCCATTTGGCCATAGGAACTAGCTGGGGGTCAGAGCTGCACTGCTAAAAACACTGCGTAAGTATCTCAAGATAGGTGTCTATCTCCAGACTAGGTCAGATGGACACGGAAGGGATCGGCGCGTTTGCAACGCAGCACAAGACGTCTACCTGCCGTTGACCGTTAGGTTTGGGCTGAGGGGAAGCCACGCAAAAGGGCCGGCTGTTTCGTACCAGGCACTTTCTAAGCCTCATATCTTAGCGGGCCTCGATGTGAGGTTGTGGTGACAAGGCAATGGCGTTGCCGAGCTGGCTCTCAGCGGCTGACAGGGCGTTTTCTGCTGGGAAGGGCCGAGAACCTCAGGCTGACGCTCCTTTCCGGCCTCCCTGCGGCCTCTGAGGGGCGCTGCCACCCTATATGGGCGCGACTCAGGCTCTTTGGGGCTGGCCTGGGCCTTCAAGAGCCGTGAGGGGTCGAAAACGCCTGTTCTTTTGGTTGAGGTGCTCTGGAGGTACGGACCCGCTGAGCGGTGGGGCTCCAGAACTGGGGTGGCGGAGGCATCATGAGCAGGCAAGCCCTGACGAAGTGCTCGTGTAATTTGATTGGACCTATTCTAATTTAATTCTGTTCTGTAGTGCAAAAAGGAGTGTCGCGGTTGTAGAGGCGGTTGAATAACAGTAATAATGGTCGTGATAACAATACAAGTACAGTATACCGACTGAAGCAGTGGCAATGTGAGTAACCACGAAGGGATTGTCAAAATAGTAAATAATGTCCCGCAAAATTAAAGTGTAAAGTTACTACCCTGTTTTCCCCAAAATAAAATCTAACCTGAAAATAAGCCCTAGTATGATTTTTCAGGATGCTCGTAATATAAGCCCTACCTTCAAAATAAGCCCCAGTTAAGTGAAACCCCACTATCCACCGTTGTGCAGCATCCAGAAAATGACATGACTGTTAAATAAAACAGCGATGTCTACATTGGCTTGGACATGTTGTGAGAATGGCTGATGGTCGGATTCCAAAAGATCTCCTGTATGGAGAGTTAGTGCAGGGAAATTGCTCCAGAGGGAGACCACAGCTGCGATACAAGGATATCTGCAAGTCGGACCCGAAGGCCTTTGGAATGGACCTCAACAGATGGGAAACCTTGACATCTGAGTGTTCAGCCTGGAGGCAGGCGATGCATCACAGCCTCTCCCAATTTGAAGAGACACTTGTTTAGCAGGCCAAGGCAAAGAGGCAGTGCCGAAACCAGCAAGATCAGGGAGCTGGACAGGGGACAGATTGTATTTGTCTTCAGTGTGGAAGGGATTGTCACTGTCCAATTGGCCTTCTCAGCCACACTAGACGCTGTTCCAAATCCTCCATACAGATCACGTTACCATAGTCTCTTGAGACTTAAGGATGCCTAATCTGAATGACCATAGTCTCTTGAGACTTAAGGATGCCTAATCTGAATGCTAAAATAAGTTGCAGTTAAACTAAGCCCATTTGAATCAATGGAAATTACAGAGGAATTGATAAACCACATTCCCATTGATTTAGTGGGCCTATTCTAGTACAATTTACTGTATGTAGCAACAGGATTTAGGCCAGTATGTAATACACTCTTGATTGCTCATTCCTGAGAGGACACAGAAGCCTGATTTCACTTTTTGCCTCATCATTGCTAGAGGGTCTGGGGTTGTGGCAGCTTGAGCTGCCCTCACCACCATTCTGAGATCCATGCATGCCTGCATTTTGGAACCCAATTAGGGCACTATCTAGATGATTGCCTGTCCTTCAAAGATACCAGTATGCCGCTGGTCATCAAGCCACCATCTGCTTGCTGAAATGGGGAGGTTGGGGCCCTTTTACCCAACCCCCAGTAACCTTAAGGACTAAAACATAATGGGAAAGTGATTTTTAGCCAAATAAATGCAGGAGCATCATAGAGGATAGAAGGAGTTAAAGACCCCACTAGTCTTCTGTTGCATACTGCAGCATCCAGAATGCATTATCATGAATTTATTTCTTGGAGCAATAAACCTAAGGTTTCCTTTTACCTGCAGTGCTGTGTCAACATTATAAAAACTTATTCATGCTAATTTAATTGTGGCCTAGGGGAACTAACCTGCAATTTTGGCATTTTAGCACATTACTCCAACTGAATTGTTTTGATAAAATTATCTCTAAACTTTCTATTATATTTTCCTTTTTCCATTCCCCCACATTCTTTTCTGTCACTCAGAAGTCTCACAAATTTCCATTTCCTCTTTGTTTTATAAACCTATTTTTTTCTTTTTACCTAACAGGTTCAAAGCTTTAAAAGAAAAACAAGACTGAGGAATATATTATACTTCAGATTAAAAAGTAGTAGAAGAAAATCCAAGATGCTAAGATCAATTTTAAATAAGGCAGAGATAATGTAGACTAATTGTATTTTCTAAAGGAATCTATTCACGGATAATTATGCAGCTTGAATGCAAAATCTTGTAATTAATCATACATGGGAAGAGCAAGCGAACTGTCATTTGAATTTACATGTAATAGAAAGTATCTTTTCCCTCTGTTGAAGGAAGTATTTTCTCAGGAAATAATTTGTCAATATTATTAGAATACAAAGGACTGTGTGCTTTTGCCAGTAATTATCTCTCTTTAACGTTTATGCAGCCATGAAGGCCTGACTTAATTTCTCATCTAAATCTACATTAATCCTTCCCACTGGGCTGCATCAGGGGAAATATTAGATTGCACATTCGAGTGTTTCCAAACTGGAAGAAATATCTGTTTTTCCCAAATGGGGCCAATCTATCTTCAACTGAAGCACAGGATTTCCCAGCATCACGAAAACTTGCATGGAGTATTTTCCCCAATGCATTGCATTGAGAGAAAATGGTAGAAATCAGTCGCCCTGATAGGCAGGGTATGTATGTATGTATGTATGTATGTATGTATGTATGGATGTATGTATGTATGTATGTATGTATGTATGTTGTATGTATGTATGTATGTATGTATGTATGTATGAATAAATAAATAAATAAATAAATAAATATGCTAGGACACAGTTTCGTCCCAGCTGGCTTTTGTTGGGGGCAGGGAGGGGAAGAAAACTGCATAGCAAATGGCTGACATTTGGTAAGATTGTGTACAACAGTTGGTTCTGTGAGACTAAACTGACCCATCCAGCTGCATAAAGGTGAAAGTAGATTGCTCA